TTCATTTTTCTACCACAAAATATTATGTAAACATCTTATCATTCGTTTACTTACACCTGCACAGAGCAACAGGAGGACACAATACATGGTGTTGGATTCAATCCTGGAGAGAAAAGAAAAACAATCCTGTAAGTTATAGTCTCACATACACATACATCTGATATTCACCATTATGTCTAAAAAAACAAACAAACAAACAAAAACCACTCACAATACTAAAAATGCAAAACACTGAAATTCATATGAATAACCTTTCAAGTAATTGGACAGCATGGCAAAACATTTTTGTTTATTAATAATCAGAATACAATATTGCCTATAGGCCTGTTGGCGATTGCTAATATAAATGTATTGTAAGAAATGAGAAAGGGAATATAAAGCCTTTTTTTTTTTTGTAAGACAGAAAAACAACTTACGCAGATATAATTCCAAATGGAAAGAAGCTTCAATCCCATGAAATGTCTGTCTGTTTGGCGCTTCTGTCTGGTCCTCTTGCTTTGTTTTCTTTCCACTGCTAATTGGTAAATCATTAAACAGATGTTTGCTAACATTTATGTACATAGATCCTTGATAGAAATCTGACTGATTTACAGAAAATTACATGTCCAAAGTCTCTTTAACAGATAAAAAAATAAAAGTGGGCCATGTTAGTTTTCAGCTCATGCACGAATGCTGGAGGCTGTAATGCTTGTCATTCATTGCATTAGCTCAAAACGATCAAATTAGCACAACTTGATATGTTCTGTTTACTCATGACATTCTAAACATGTTTTCCATATATATCACTTTATTCACTTTTTCTCATTTAATTAACTGCACTTTTTGACTCCTATAATGATTGTTAGCTTATAGAAGGACCTAGAGGGGTCAATTTTCCTTTTAATTTGCTCACAAGATCAAGATTCTTCCGTCAGTTTTGGCTGTTTACATGCATTTACTTATCCTGTGGAGCTGAAAGTTGAATATGAATAGATTATTAAAATGCTAATTCATTCAAACGTTTCAGATCAAATTTTGTCTGAGACTTTATGTCTGAAGTGTTTTCTCAAAGAATAATTAGCAATGAACATTTTATTCGGGTATGTTTTTCTTTCTTCAATACCATTTCACCAGTGCTAATAATAATTAAATATGTTTCTGATAGAAACTTTGGCAACAAAAATGGACAATGTTGCCTGCTCTTTTTTTTTCAGAGCTAAAAGGGCATGTTTAGCCTGACCACAGTGCCCAGGAGAGTTGGTACATCTCCAGAACGGGGGAGAGAGCAGTATTATCGGACTCTGACGCAGAAGGAAAAATAGAGTATTGTGATGTTGGCTGTATTTCTTATATGAGACCCAAGCAGCTGTAAGTTTGTTTCAGCACTATAAAACCATCTCCATCTCTCACATCTGAAAAAAGGTGATGCTGAGACTGCAAAAATGGTCAAGGCCTGGGAAACACATTTGTTGAAATTCTACACTGATGTTACATGTTCATATCATTGGGAAGTCGTGGCCTAATGGTTAGAGAGTCGGACTCGTAACCCAAAGGTTGCGGGTT